ATATTAAAAATTGTTAAACATTTATTATTAATTAAATTATGTATCTTTTGAAACTAAAATCCACATTTATCACTTAAAAGTGGATGGTATTAATTTTTATTTTCTTGGTCACCACAATAGTTTCATCACAATTACTTTGTCAACCGACTTCGAGTCATTGCGCCACTAGTTTTAAAATTTTATGTTTGTTTTTATATTTTTTGAGTAACAAAAATACATTACAAAAAATGAATAAAATTCGACAGAAAAATGAAGAAATTCATTTTTAATGTAAACAACAATTATTTTCAACCTTTTAATTTGTGTTTCAAAATAAATAATAATATAATATTATTATATTAAAAAATATAATAAGTATTGACAAACAAATGGAAATGGCAACATTACACGTTGTGATGTTATCTACGTTTCACACGACTTCACAATGACTAAATTAAATGTTTTGTCATTGAATGAGCAACTTGTTATTGAAAAAAATCACCGCCCAACAAACCAAAGTCAAGAAGAAAAAACGTGCAGATAAACTCCAAAAAGTGATTGTAAATGAAATAGTATTTGGTAATATTAAAAACAAGTTGAAAAGTTTGTTAAAATGTTGACCGCTCAAAAAAGATGGTTTGCAAAAAACTTGAGAAGGAAAGAGGAATGAAATATAAGGTATAGAAACTCAATGACTTGGAGCTAAAGTTACAGATTCAATAAATAAAATTGTTACAACAAATTCAACTGATATTTCGAAATAAAGATTGTCCAAGTTTTGTCGATGGGTGTCAAGTAGTTTGTGATAATCAATTGAAGTGACTACATGTCAAAATATAATAAAAAGCAATAAAAAAGCAAAGAAGTTGATTTTTTAAAGAGAAACGTTTAAAAGTTATTAATATTTTCAGGTTTTTACACGTATTATTTATTTATATATTTCAATGTAATTAATCAAGAAACAAATCACAAGGGACTGATGGGTTTGGGTTGTATATTTATTGATTGATTGTTTTTTTATAAATTTGTTAAAAACATGAGC